AACACGTTTTTTGGTATATTATTTCTTACAAATACAAATAGATATTGTGAAAATTTGAAAAATGAATTTACGAAAGGAATGTTTCGCCAAAGCAAATTCTGAGTTTCCCTAACAAGCGGTAATTAATTGTAGTTGATTATAAAGATTAAATTAATATGTTGTACGATTTACAATCTTTTCTATAAAAAGAACTTACAAAGTTCATTTTAGGTTCATTCATTTAGGTAACAAATGCAGTTTGTTCTAGATGTTGGAAAGTTTATATATAAATATAATTAATATAATATAATATAATTAAATTAAATATATATAATATTTCAGTACTTTTTAGAAAAATAATATAAACTTGATGACAGCAGTTGTTTGTAGAATATAAATTATTATAAAACAATTACTGCATTTTTAATACATGTATTATGAGTTACTTACTTTCTTTTTGTAATCAAGTGATGTATGAAGTAATATCTCAAATTATAACAACATTACTAATTTATATAAAAACAAACGTTCAAAAATGATAAATTTACAGCATATTCACAAATTTAGTAAAAAAGTGGTAAAAATGATGAATACGTGAATGTTCATAATTACGAATAATTTTACTTATTAATGAGGAATTTTGGTAAAAAAATCGAAATATAGATTTATAAGGGGCAATTTCATTTTTTTTTAATTTCTTTATAAATCTATCATCTCAGTTTTATTTTTGTAAGTAAAAATATGACTATCGTATGCTCTAAGAGTTATAAATTAGCGTTCGTGCATGAAACTGGTAATATTATTAACAGTTAATATTAATAACTAATAAAAAATCGTAGCAGCTATATAATATATACAAACTGTTTCTAGTATATTTTATATTCGACGTTTCGAACTTTAGAGCAATATCGCATCATAGCCATCGAACTAACACTTCTTATTTATTTAAACAAATAATCCTTCAACCCAGATACAAAAATTATAAATTAAAATTATTTATTTTATTTTATATATAATCAGGCAGGTTTACACATGTCTTAATATATATTTATTTCAATTTTAATATTCTATTCATATAATCTATGCATTTATTTTAGAAACAAGATTTGTTGTTAACTTCTAAGAATATGATCTTTACAGATGTCCTGAAGATGAAACGAACATAGTTCTGAAACGTCGACAATAAATTATATTTTTCAGAAGACAGTTCTTTATTTTTATTTTGGATTTCTAGTTATATATATATATATATATATATAGATATATATATAACTAGATATATATATATATATATATATATTATGCGCCTGAATGCATGCGAATAAAGAGCGCATTTATGCAATAAATAAGAAAAGTACTCACCGATTGCTCGAACAGGAAATGCGATAAGCCATAATAAAACTAATGGGAATGTAAATCTTTCTGGAATTTAAACGAAATATATAAATTAAATATATTTTACATTACAATAATAATGCATGTGGTTTAAAACTTACCTTTAATGATCATTAAGTCCTTTATTTCATCGTGTTTTGTAGAATACGCGAAATTAATACAAATTAATTCACATCAAATAAATTAGATTAAAGTGCTATTCTGACAATTGTACCGCGTGACTGAAGGAATTTTGTTTATACCGCATCCTTTTATCAGTTTCGGACTCATGCGCATTGTAAAATATTACTGACACGTGGATACAGATGTAAAATACTATATTTACCGACGAATTTATTGTTTATTTATGACTATATAAATTAGAATCACAGTGCATGTTCGTTAGAATAATAAACACATGTGATAAGTCAATTTCCTGTGCTTTTATTTTACTTTTGACATTTGCTTCAATGTCAAGCTCGTTTCAGTGCCATCTATTACTGAATGGTGCTAATGTTTTCATCAGCTTGCAAAATCTCATCACTTCAATTTAATTCATACAATTGATTTAAAGATGCAATTAAACTGATTTATTCATGGAATTAGAAACAGTTAACTTTTTTATTTCATAGAGTTTTGAATCAATGGGTTCCTATGTAGGAAAGTTTTTAATAATGTTGGAATATTCTGTTATTACGTATATTGTTTGTAGAGATTGTGTTGAAATAATATGAATAATAAGAACATGATGAAATCCTAGAGATAGTCGCAAAATAAATTGTAACAACATTTTAGAAAAGTAAAACTACTGACTTCTCATTCGACTGTAAAATTTTTGCACAAAAATGGTTTTTGATGCCGATTAATATATACACCAATTGATCTATTAATATCAATTTGACTGTATTTTTTAATAATATTGAAAGTTTTTCATGCTTCATGCTTATATAAATAAATAATAAAAATAATGCTTCTAAGCCACTGAGCTTTCCATTCCCTGCATTTTACATGCATTTTTCTTTAAGTTAATTTTACAATTTTTATCCTTTAAACTATATGGATTCATTATCTAGAATCGTTTTTTTGTATTTCCATGTTATGATATTTAATATCTTCTCGTTGTTTTGATATAGGGAAGGGCGGGGCACGAAGATCCAATTTGACTTTAAGTAATTATACTGTCTAAAGCAAATACTACATCATAACACATAACACCTTTCAAGCGATCGAACTATGTTCAGTAAAATTTTCAGTTCCTAATTACATAAATTCGTTATTTGATAATTTCCCCAAAATTAGCCATCTAGATTAGCCCCATAGGCGGGCGTAAAATGGGATAGCCAGAGGGCAAACAAATCGAATGTTTCATTTTTTTAAATTTATATAGATTTTACAATGCAAAATATAAATTTCATGGGCACATTTTTACAATGATAAGACTATATATAACCTATATCTGGTATTTTGTCATGAATATCATCGGCAGAGTTGGAGAGAAAAACATTTATTTATTTAATTTAATTAATTACTGTTTTTTATGTTTACGCCTTTGCCAGAGTAAAGGTTCAGTTGGTCCTTTATACCAACAACAGACCTCTTATGAAACTATTCAATAACGCATAAGTACTTAAAAATTATCAGTTCTCTTAAACTGAACAACAGCACTCATATTCCAAGAAAACAAAACGAAAGAAAATACTTTTGTTATGAATTTTCAAACATTGCCTTTTATCCTACAAAAATAGCATTGTAAGAATCAAGGTTTGCTCTCTACTTTTACAGATGATTGTTTCAAAAAATCCTAACTTGATGATGGACTTTTTTACCCGCGGAGCTTTAAGCTTCGATCTACCCTAAGCGATTATATACTCAGAATTGTTCATTTGATTTTTAAATACTTATATGAAATTAACTGTAAACATACATCATGAAACATACATTATTATTTGCAAATAAATTTTATTATAACTGTTAGTTACTAGTAATTAGATTATGCTTTCATGTTAACCCTGTTAACCTTATCCACTTGGATGCTTTGGAATGAATTTTGGAATTAGCGAGTGGAAAGGGTTACTATTGCTGTCTTATTTATGACTGGGATATTATTTACATGATAATATAAATAAAATGAGTGAGAAATGATAAATATAATCAACTGACAATTTCTCATCGTTAGTTGATTATATTATATCAATTGGCGCGGATCTCCTCTATCTCAATATCCAAAATCCCTAAGAGAAGAAGCGCACATATTTAATTTTCAGCAGCCAAAACCCCATAAATAAATTGTATATGTCAATGCAATGCGTCAAACTGTGATAAATATTTACATTTATCAATTAGAATTAATATTTACTCAATTTTATCGTAGATTACCAACATGGATATGTACTTATGAATTGTTTACTTATATTAAATGTCTGATTGAATCATTAGATTTAATAGAGCTGGCATATGCTTTTAAATATTATTACGTCGACAATTTTTACAAAATGGTAATAAGGAATATATTATTATTTTCACCTATATATTTTTTAATTCTTGTGCTAAATGCGATAGTGAAATAATTTATGCAGTGAACGCCGGTGGTGAAACTCATGTAGATAAAAATGGAATACGTTATGAAAAAGATCCTCTTATGAATAAAATTGGTACAGCCAGTGATTATGGTAAACAACTTTTAATGATTGGACGAGTTCTCCAAAATGACGAAATTCTGTACCAAACAGAAAGGTATCATCATGATACATTCGGATACGATATCCCTATTATTCAAGACGGGGAATATGTGTTAGTTTTAAAATTCTGTGAAGTTTATTTCAATGCACCTAACATGAAGGTTTTTGATGTCGTTCTAAATAATGCTCACACTATTGTTTCTGAGCTGGACATATTCGATAAAGTTGGTCGAGGTGTTGCTCATGATGAATATATTCCATTCAGTGTATCGAGAGGAAAATTGTACTATAATGAAGAAGAATCCTATATAAGAGGAGGTCGTTTGAAACTAGAATTTATAAAAGGATACAGAGATAATCCAAAAATTAATGCATTTTATTTAATAAAAGGCACATTGGATGATGTTGATAAATTGCCACCTGTAAATTCAGATGGCGATGTGAAAGATGTAAGTATATAGTAAAGCAATCATTCATTTACTCATTAAATAATTATATAATATATATCTCCCTGTATGATCTCCTTTTTAGGTTGATGATTCAGAGCAAACTGATGATGAAGATTTTGATTCTGAGGAATTTGTAAGTGAACCTTTACGTAAAACATCGGGTCCAAAACAACCAGACCCTTATGCAAGTGATGAAACATCAGTATTACTTCCAGTAGTTATAGCCATAGGCGCTTTCATACCTGTACTACTTTTACTTTGTAAAATGTAAATAATAGGACTCACTGAGACTTAAATGATCCATTGGTATTCATACAAGATATCTGTGAGGTATTTAACGAGCAAAATTATTTTGATTCTTAAGAAGTATGATGTATAGCCTTTTAAGAAGTTATGATACTGTTATAGCCTTCACACTTTGAGAAAGATAATAGAAATTGTTCTCACATAAATATTACTCATTAGCAGTTTAACTTAAAAATGAAATTCTTATTCAAATTTGAATAAAAAAAAGTTGCATCAAAGTATCACAGTATACAACAATATTAGAATCGATATCATAAATTGTGCCAACATTCTGTGTTGCCACTGATATCATTATTCATTTGAAATATCAATGGAATTATCAACTGAATAGAGAAGTATTTGGCTGAGCTTAATATAATACTAATAGCGAGATCTGAAATTAACAAAGTTGAAAACTAAATAGTATTATTTTATTAGTACAACAGAAAGTATTCTCGATCTTTACTTATGAATAATTAATAGAGACAAATATAAATAGTAGCTTTAAATCAAAATCTTTATGTGAAATATTTGCTTTCCAAGAATAGAATATGTGAAGACAATTTATTTAGATTCAACAATGTCGATAAAAGATATATAGCAAATGTTTATAGTCAAAAGGTACTAATTTTATAGAGGCTGATAACTGTAAGTTTGTAATATTGTATCTTATTACTATTGGTCTGAATTTTGTGAAAATTATGTCTAGTCAATAAGATTACTTTAGTAATGTGAATTCTTAATAATATATTATTAATATATGTATAAAAAAACTAAATTTATATATTTAAAATGACATGGACTTAGTTTTACTTGAAGTTTTTATGTTGTATGTTTTTTATGAAATTGGGATTTGTTTGTGTAACAGGGTTAATAAATATTAGTTTGAAAATTACCTGATTTTTTCCTGAAACATTGATATATTTTTACATTTGATATATTTACTGCTATATAGGTATATTAAGCATTTATAAAAGCACTAAATCTAAAAAAAATTATTGGTTATGGCATAATAGTGAGCAAAAAGAGAACATTTGAGGAAATTGTAATTGGAGTGTCCGTTAATGTTTGCATACCGATTCAGTACATGGTCCTTACGAATATCTTAAAATATTATGGGCTTATGGAAACTGGTCAAATTATAAAAAAATGTTCAACTTTATTAATAATGAACAGAGTTTTGATGACATACACCGTGTATTAAACAAGTGATTGTGCAGATGAATAAGCGAGTACTTACAAATTCACATTACAAACTATATATTGGGAGTTTATACAACTTGTTTCAAGTCAAAAAGCCATTTACACCTATAGTTTTGATATTACTTAATATATTATACGCCAGTGATTATTATTATATTATAAAAACATTTTATTATAAAAATGATTTATTTCAATTAGTACAAAATGTATCAAGTTTTTGATGAATATTGATATATGAATTAAAATATAAATAAACCTATCGAATTATGAGCTAATATCAATTTAATCGTCTCTATCTTCTTTGTCCTTAAACATATTGGCGATGTTCACTAACCTTCTTAGAGTTAATCTGAAAGGTAAAGGTTTTTATTACGTATATGGCATGTAAGCATTATTAAATAAGCATATCTTTAATGCTTACAATCCAGGGCTGACCCTTCTTCTATTATGATTACCATTGTTCTGTACATTTCTGATTTTAGGAGCTATTTTGCCCCTGATCGGCCTGGATGGTGCAAGAGTTTCGTCTTTGCCCATAATTTCGACTGAGTACTTTCTTGATGATGAATTAAGCTTTCCATTTGCAATTACTGGTCCACCTACTACCTCTTTTATTGTGGTTGTCATAGATTCCTGTTCGGCGGTAGGTTTGTTTTCTAAAATGACCAGAATAAGTAATTGACAATAATTGAAAAATATTGAGCTTCATTATACTTTGTAAGTGCTTTTTTTTGAGAGTCAAATAAAATTTAAATAAAATACCAATTTTAAATTTCAAATGGTTTTGGTGAATATACAATTTTAGAGAATCATTCATTGCAGCAACAAATATATTTAAAATACTTTAACTTATGCATTCAATCAACAAATGATTTAAATACTTAAGTTAATTAACAATAATTGTTTTTTTTCGACTAGCTTTTTTGTATTTAATAGTCGATTTAATATATATTAAATCTATATATATATTTAATATATATTAATATAAATTAAATATATATTAAATGTAATATTACATTACATTTATAGAAATGTGCATAATGAGCGATATAAAAATCGACTCAATTTTTTTAATAATCAAGTAGATTAAATCCCATATGTTTTCAACGACTTCGCAAAGTTTCAAAATCTTTGATTATATATTTTTTATTCTCATTAAACATTTGAATTTATAGAAAAAGAATTTGCGGTTTAAAATTATATTGCATAATAAAAAATAAAATGTTTTAAGTATTTTTTTACCTATATCTGTAATTGGCTTTCTGGTAGTTGGCTTTAGTAATGGTTCTTCAGTCTTATTTAATTTGTCTATAATAACTTCTACTGGAATTTGATCCGGAAGAATGTATTGAGGATAGTTTGGATCCGTGATAGAAGTAGAATTCTTCTCACCTTAGGAAATAAAATTTATAATGTTATATATTGAAATCGAAAATAGTATATGCAATTAATATGCGAAAAAATATTCATATAAATATTTTACTATTCATCATAAAATTATTTAAATAATATTTAAATTGAAACCGGGAAATTTAGATTTTACAGCAATCGGCCGAGCCATTTTTAGCATTTCACAGTAAAAAATTAAATTTTCACATTGTACTAAAAAAATTAAGTTATTCAAATTTGGATCTAGATTGGCGTAGGTAGCAATTTACTTGTACAGATTTAATTTTCGATTGTTCAAAGTTTCATAGCAGAAAAACAAAGATTAAGGATATATGGCTTATTAAGATAGAAAACATTGACTTAACATAATAGTATGTAATATATATATTAGGAAGCTACCGATATTCTCTACTTTTTTTCGTTTAGGCAAAATTCTTTTAATGGTAAATATAATCTATTAGAGATTACTAATTCACCAGATTTTTTTTATTTGCAAATTAATTTTTAATTTACTTAAATTACCATCATTGGTAGAATTTAGACTGGCGGTATTCACAGACTCGCTGGTTGTTGAAGTACTTCCAGCTGTGATGTTCGGTGCATTTGTTGTTGATGAAGGTTTATTGCCGGACAAGCTGCCCAGAAGACTTAATATCGGTTTACTCGTCAATTGATCATAATCGTATGAGTAATCATAGTCCTGAAAATAATATGGATACATTCTTAGATTAGTATTATTGTTTTTTTATTCTTAAGACAAGTTTCTGGAAATATAGTCTTACAATTAGTTCAAAGAATATATTCTTAAAACTGAAGTATGTAATAGAACATTTTTGTAATATACAGCAGTTTTATAAAGATGATGGGTTGTGCTATAGTAAATATAGTGCACTTATTTATTTTATCTTCTATATGAACCTTTATTACTATTCATATATTTATATAAAGAAAGAAAGACCACGCCAGTATATGCTAATTTATCTAAATAGCTAATTTATCTAAAATTTGTGGAATATTAAAATTTAACACCTATCTGAAGAAAATGAGCAACAGCTAATTTTTAGACAATTTTCACAATAATGTTCTCGCATCGTTTTAGTAGATTTAGATATTTTGAATTATTTGAAAAGTATTATTTTTTATTGCATTTTTGCTCCAAACTTATTACACTTCAGTCATTATGTGATTAAGTACAAAACAGTACGTAAATTGTATGCAATAGGTTCTAGTTGCATATCAGGCCTAAATTGTATGCAATAGGTTCTAGTTGGATACCAGGGCTAAACTGTATGCAATAGGTTCTAGTAGGATACCAATGATCAACATTTTGTCAGTATATTCTTCATTAAAGAAAATGTACAAATGCTTTTTTATTAGCATCATGGAGAATTAGAAAATACCAAGAACTGTAAGTACACGAATATCGGAACTATTTTGCATAATGTAATTTAGAAATTTTGAGATCGGATTTACCCCTTGTTCTGTAGACTAATGGGACCTTGCATCAATTAATTTTATTCAAAACAATTATTATTACCACTGCCTTATTAAACTTTTCTTGAATACCTTTTAACATTTTACAAAATTTTTGATATTTGAATTTTTTTAAATTTATTCTATTTAGTACTATCACTGATTACTCAAAATTAGAAAATTGTGATGCTATTTAATTATTTCACAGAAGTGATTTCCTCACCCCAAAATCACCACCCAGAGTCTGTCCACTCACTGCAATAATTTGAACATCTTTTAAATTAACTTGTAAATTATATTTTCCTGATTGACGTTGGTCATAATGGACTTCATTGCCTTGATTTTTACGTCTTGATCTTCCCTCAACGGCGTCTTCGATATATTCGTTTAAGATACCTTTTGGATTATAGTTAGTTATTGCTTCTGCTATAGTTGCCAATGAGAGAATTATTAGACAAAACTGCTTGAAACGCCGCATTTTTGCAATCTGAAAGTAGGAATTTTATAAAAATATTTTTTTTAATTTTAAAAATAACTTATTGAAATAATATTAAATAGTACTTTTACCAATAATCATAATATTATTGACATAACCATATACAGAATATGTACAGATAGTATTATATTATATATTTGCGTGTATGTGGGCTAGAGTCTGTATTTACTTTTTATTACCGCAGAGAAATATATAACTGTTAACGATTGTAACCTCTAATTATTTGTTAGTTCTTTCATTTTCAATTTAACGGTTTTCATAATGTCAACTATCAGCAGACAAACTCTAACAGTTTTAAATACATAACAATCAATCCACTTTTTTGCATTTTTTTAGATATTCGACAAAATACGAGATTTTTTATTATAATTTTTCATTTTTATTTACATATCTTGAATAAGAATATTTATACATTATACTAAATAAATA